TTCTTACTTGGATGTTGCAGTCTCCGACCACCACCAGAGTGACTTTTTTAAGGGCGACTTCAGAGTTAGTAATAGTTTAGTTTCGTTTCCTATCTCTAAGTGTACTTAGATATAAGGAAATAAAAATCATGAAAAACTTTCTTCTTTTATTAATGAGGAAACCGAAGTATAAGATAGACAGTACATTCTTTTCTCTCTTTTTTCTTAACTACACATGAGAGATATTTTTGGTCTAAAAATTTCACTACTTTTACTATAACTTGTACTAGAGGAGGGTTTAGTTCGACCAAGGAAAATAGAGGACGAAAAAAGTTACATTGAGACTAAAAGAATGCACTATTATGCACCATTTAGATTTAACAAGTGCAAAGAGTCGTCTCATCAGAATGGAGTTGTTCAGCGAGCACACAACGAGAGTCACGAGAGCATCACATCACATTCCCCGGTGCCCTGGCCTCGAGGTCTTATAGCCTGCCTCACATTGGGTCGTGCCCCCATAAACTCATTTAAAAAGAATGTTCAGCAGCTCTTTGACTTCAAGAAATAAGATAAAGGGGTATAATTTAGTATGCAAAAGCCAAATACGCTAAACAAGATAAGAAAATTGTTCAAAATGTACCTTATATTTATTTAAATAAATTTTTCGTCCTTCACTTTTAAAGCATTAATTCACATCCTTTAATCAGCAAAATTTGATCATAACTTATATTTCCGACCACTTTTTGCCCTAAATCTATCATGTGACTTACATATGGTTCTTTTCTAAGGATAACAAGATTTAGATATCATTTGTAGTTAAACAAATAACCTGATCCATATTAATTTTGTCTTCTAAAAAATGTAGAATTTGATCCAAGCTATATTCATTTTTCTCCTTAAAAAGTAATATTCGACCCGATCTATATTCATTTTGCACCTAAATAAGTGGGACTGACCTTTTTCTATCTAAAAAAATGATCACACGTAAGTTACATGGATGATTTCAGGCTAAAAAAATGGTTTGTAAACCTAAGTTGAGACTAAATTTTATTGAGTTAAATTTGTAAGGAATACAAATTAACATTTCAAGAGTAAAGAAGGAAAATTTTATTTAACAAAATACGAGGGGTATTTTGAATGATTTTTCCAAAAAAAAAAAAAATTAACACTTTCATAGACTCGAGACTTCATTACTACAAAAAGGTTGGAGTTAGGAACTCTTTATTTCATGAAAACACTAAAAAATGTAAAAGAAACCCTGAAAAATGAGATTCAATACGATCAACTAGGGAAGCCAAGTGCTGTTAGAGTTTACCGATCTCTATTGCTTGAAGAGTCTAGAAACTGCTTGCGTTTATCTATTTCACGACAATGTTCCAGTTGCATGTGCACAGTGATCGGAAAAATGTGCACCGCTTCATTTGTGGAATAACGGACGTATGCCTAGTATACACAGGACATTGGAGTCCTTGTTGAGGTGAGGTAAACTGGCTTGTCTCCCTAGCGTGGCGTTTGTGTTAGTAAGTTAGTGCTTTGGTATTGTGTGTTTGCTTGTTGATTTTTGTCCCACAATTGTAATATTCTGGTGTAATTTAATTTATATTTAATTGTTCGAGTGTTATTTGTCAAGTTTAGTTTAAGGTGCTCTTTCGCAAGGATGTTTGATCAAGGACTGAAAAAGTTGTTTGTCGAAGTAAATGGTCGGGGACCATTGTACAAAATATGAGTAAATTTCGTTAAAACACATGTTAGTTTGGGATTACATTCACTTGCGTTTAATAAAATTCAAGTTTGAAATCTAAAATGTGAAATCTGAGGCCATTAAATTATTAAATTGTTAAGTATTAAATCTAATACATTTAAACGTATATCACATTCAGTGATAAGTGAATAGCTTATCATTTAATTTTGAGAGCAAGTTTTGCTTAAGAAATTCAGAGTTACTTAATTAATTTAAATGTTTAATTTTTAGTTATCAAACGGTCTAAATATATTAAGATCTGAATTCATTAAATTTAAGTACTGAATCAAATTATTAAACAGAGCTTAATCAAGGATCAAGTAAGGCATTATTCTGTTAAAGTGAAGGGCCAGGACCGTTGTAAGGGATGAAGAAGATGCTCTCCTTGCCAAAAAGAGAGGATGCAAGGATCAAAGATAGAGATTGGCGAGATCTAAAGTTGACAAAGAAGATAAGGAGCAATAAGGCCGTGAGAGAAGGTAAAGACGGAACCCTCATCAAGAGGGAACAGAAGAAGATGAAGATGAGTATTATGGCACTAGAGATCGAAGGCGAAATGATTGATGTTATAATTGTAACGATCGAGAAAGGACATTTTGCACTGGATTGTCACATGATCGAGGAGGAGGAAATATAGGGACAAGTGACGAGCAATGTTTTAAAAACCGGACCGTTAATTGAACCGGTGAAGTGAAAGAGTCAAGATTCAACCGGTCGGACCGATTCAACCTTGGTTCAATGAATTTTTTAAAAAATTATTTATATAAATATATATATATATATGTACAAATGAGACATGTAATGGATTAATTTAATACTTTATATGATGAAAGGTTTACTATTTTTTAATAACTTGGATTTTTTAAAAATAAAAAATTTAAATTATAAGTTAAAACAAATAAATTTCATCTCAATTTCAATTATATCTAAATCCAACCCAAAAATATCACAATATTTTGAAATTATACAAAATTCACGTCTATGAAAATTTAGATATTGTGAACTTAAATTTAATTTACGTTTTAGAGATTGCAATTTAAAAAGGAAGTTTGGAGTTCGAAGGAAATCAAGAAAATCGAAAATATGAGGTTCTGCTGTAATTCTCTGGTTGTATCTGTCATCCATTGATTTCAAATACTTTGCTTACTATATGCGTTGCAATAGCAAATCCATATTACTGGACTAATTAGTTGCCAGCAAAATAAATTCCTTGTTCTTCTGCTTTCATGTACATTCACTTGAAGTCTGTGTAAATTTTTTTATCATGTCTCAAAAGCTCTAAACAATTGGCTGCAGTGACATCCACAGGGAACAGCCATATCTTCTGAAGAATGATAGCTGTGTTTTCGAGTTTTTTTTTTGTTTTGTTTTTTTTTTTAAATCTGGGGCTATCAAAATAATTGCATACGAGTTTCTGGACCAGTTCCTCGAGTGGTCAAGTCAATATAATTAGCTATGCCCACTCCAACATCTTGAACTACAGTGGTCATTTCACATAATATAAACTATCTGTATTACTTTGCAATGCACTTTAATATGCTTTGGATGTTCTCTGTCTTACCTATGAAGATGGGATCCATTATGCAATATTCTTATGTCTCTCATCTGCATTCTTGTACGCCAAGACCTTTTGCGCATCTTATAATGAGCATCATCTACTTATGGAGCCATATTAATTCAAAATTGTTCAGTCCTCAGCTGAAAAGGCCTTAGTAATGTGAAACTAGTATTACTATATGGTTTGTTTTATAACTGCTCTGTTTGTCTTTTTGCTGTCAAAGACATTCATGGTTATATTAAACATGCCTATTCTAGTTGAACAGAGGTCTGCATACCGTGTAAGATCTTGCATATCCCCATAGAGGTTATCTATTTACAGTAACAGAATTACACCAAGTGTTATACATAATAAAAACCAGTTGAAATGACCTTGAAAATAACGACCAGCTCAAATAACTTTAAAATAACAACACTCAATTATCCCTCATGTTGTGAAAGTAGTAGTACAACAACATGATCTAGTTTTTAATAGGGCTAACAGATGAACCGAACTACTCGATACTTGAATTGAGCTCCTGGTAAGAGCTTGTTTGAGTTTGGTCTCCAACTAGCCAAGCCAAACTTGAACAGCATTTTACGTTTGAAAACTTTCAAGTTCGATAAAAAGCTTGTTCCAGTTCGATCAAGTAAATGAACAAGCCCAGCTTGAACAAAATTTCAAGCTCGTTAAAATAATCAAACAAGCTTGAACACTAGGGTGTTTGGCTTGATTAGACTTGTTTACACCCCTAGTTTTTAATTCTCATTTTAGTCTTTCAAGCTATAAACCTCCACGGGTATGTTAAGAATCCTTATTTTAGTGGAAAGGACCGTATCATATTATAACATGTAAGAGCCTCTGTTATGCATACAGAGATTCTTAAATAACTGGTAAATCGACCATTTTTTATGTCCAGAAACACTTGATGAGCGATGCATTAGGAGATGACAATTAAATAAACAACCATGAGATGCTATGCATGGTTTTAAGGATAATGAAAATTTTTGGGCTTCAACGTCAGAAGCATGTTGGCTTTAACAGTCAAACAAATTTGATTTGTCAAATTATGTGCATAACAATGAAAGAAATTTAGTGAATTGATGAAACACAAGAAAGCATGGATAACGAAAATCTTCTGCTTCTTTTGAAACGTTTGTAATAACATTTATTTTCTCTAATCTTATGAACATTTTTGGCATGGAATCAGAATAACTGTAGACCTACAACATCTAACACCAGCAAGAGATCATTCATTCCTGCTTCCTTATTTAACTTCAAACTATTTGCATATTTCATGTGGCAAACTTTCAAGGGCATGTAATGTCTGTACAACAATGCAAGTTGTCTAGCATTTACCAGGTTGACCAGGATATTAGTTGAAATGTCTTATTATTGTGTCGTCTTTTTATGTTATCTAAATCTTTTAATATTTATCCCTGCATGCTCTTTAAATAAATAGTATCCCTCAGTAATTTTGAAATTGAATCTTTCTACCTTTTATTCTGCAATTAACGCCTTCAATTCTTTACACTGTTGGACCTAATGTCGATAACATTTACTTCATCTGATGTGTACAACCTCCATGTTTATTATTAGTCATTGGAAACTACGGTTTGCAAAATAATTCAAGTCCAATGTTTCTAATGTCTATGTATATTTTGTCAGAATGTAAGACCTCATCCATCGAGCTGAGATAGGATGGGATCGGACCTTTGGCTGTTTTAAGTGCAATTCTTTTGACTAGTTGCTCTTATATTCAATTGTCAGGGATTCAATGCAACTCTGACTGAACCAGTGGATACTCCTGGAAGAAGGATTGATCAATTCAAAGAAATGGAGGTCAAACTGCATCCAGATTTAAAAGAACCTTTGAACAAGCTATGCAATGATCCAAAGACCACCGTGGTTATCCTCAGTGGAAGTGATAGAAAAGTACTTGACGAGGTGATCTGAATGCCCATGTGATCTTTTTCTCTGTTGCTTTGTTCAATTTTGTTTCTTAAATGGAAATTTGATTATACTTGATGTCTGACTTCTTCTGCAGAATTTTGGTGAATATAACTTGTGGCTGGCGGCAGAACATGGGATGTTTTTACGCCGTACAAAGGGAGATTGGATGACAACAATGCCTGAAAATCTCCATATGGATTGGGTGGATAGTGTGAAGGTACATTTATCTAACTTCACGTGGAATTAAATTTAAAACCCTTGAAGTGTCATTTTATAATCTTTTGATTCACCTTTGCTGACAGCATGTCTTTGAGTACTTTACTGAGAGGACACCACGCTCTCATTTTGAGCTTCGTCGAACTTCACTTGTGTGGAACTATAAACATGCAGGTGCCTGACTCTGGAGCTCATTTGTCTTCCTATTTTATACTAAGGAAGTCCTTTTTTTACTTTTGGCTTCAATTTAATACTTTTTGGTTGATGGCTGCTGGACAACAAGGACAGATGTGGAGTTTGGGAGGCTGCAAGCAAAAGATTTACTGCAGCATCTCTGGACAGGCCCAATTTCAAATGCTTCTGTGGATGTTGTCCAAGGTGGGCGATCAGTTGAGGTCCGAGCGGTGGGTGTGACCAAGGTCTGTGTTCTGATTCTCCTATAAAATTATTTATCAGTTCTTGAATAAAGGCAAGCCCATCCCTGCCACTTTGTGTTATACAGGGTGCTGCAATTGATCGAATTCTGGGGGAAATTGTTCACAGCAATGATGTCAAAGCACCAATTGACTATGTACTGTCTGTTGGACATTTCCTACCTAAGGTGCACATGCTTCTTTTATAAGCTTGAAAGTTTGAGATCCATATCATTACAAATCTGCACAAAACTGCAATCAACAAACTTGACATTTTGAAGAACAATGATAAATATTTAATGACAGGATTAAATCCATAATAGCTCTGACCTTTACTGTCAGTATACCAAATATATGGGTCCTCATTTTTGGTCATGGTCAATCCTAGTGACTCATAGTTAGTGGTTGAATGCAATGGAATGTGAATTTCACCTGTTGAGCATATCTGTAGTTGATGTGCAGCAGCTCTCTCTCGCCCTCTCTGTGTTTGTCTATCTCTGTCTATGTAGCATGCATTGCTTTTTTCATGTTTTCTTTGATCTGTAATCTAAGAATGCAGTTCTTTGTGAATTATCAATTCCTTGTTCTTTAGTTGATTGCTTGGTTCATGGAGGAATTAATCCATTGTCCAGCTATTTAGCGCTTTGTGTCTAACCTAGACTTCATAGATCCCGTTGTGTGTCATTTATGCATCTGAGTGCAGTTTCCCGTTCTTCTTGCTTTGTTGCTTTTACAAGTAATGGCCGCTAGAAGAACAAGTTTGAGATGGAACCAGCTGTCTTTCCTTTTTGTCTCAACTAGAAGGGGTTTCTGAAGCCTGTAGTAATTTATATTCTATATTTTTTATGGTTTATTTTTCTTCTTGGCAGAACCACATAGAGGTGACGATGAGAACATGTATATGAACATTCCCAAATTCACTAAACTTTGCACTGTGGGATGAGTTCTTATTGTCCCAGGTTTTGCATTTAAGCCAAGTTAGCTTTCAAGAAACTTCTTATCGTTATCTGTACTTTGAAAATGTAAAAAAGAAATTTCTTATGGTCTTCTACACTTGGTATAGTCCATTTTAACAACTCTTAAATGGCAGTCGATATTGCCAATTCTTTGTAATAAGGCTGTTTATTTTGTTAGTTACATTTCCGTTGCTGAATTCTGGTGAGAGAGGTGATTGGAGTGAGCCACACAATCAGGAGATGCTTGTTCTTAGAATGAAATCAGTCCCGGATCTAATTGAATCTTTTCTCTCCCAACTCTCTTATCTGAATTCTCTCTCTCTCTCTCTCTCTTATTTGTGTTTTTCTTCTTTAATCTCTGCCATTTTCTTTTCTTTTTTCTCCTACTCTGATTTCTGTTCATCTTCACTTTCCCAAACACGGAACTAACTCATTCACAACAATTTCCTTTAAAACCAGCATACTGGCAGACTGAGAGCTAAAGTTAATTCAAAAAATGCCAAGCCTGCTAAATTTCAAATGATGGTGATTTTCACATACATGATCAATGTGGCAATTTAATGAGTTCACATTTGATGAAGTTTCTTTTCTGCAGCTGAATTTTGAAATTGGAGTATGAATTATTTCTTGTTGGCTTTCATGTGTTTATTTGACTAGTTTTTCATGTCAAATGCAGTCAATCCTATTCTACTTTTCTTTCAGAAATTCTTTACAAAATGGAAAAAAGAACTTCTAATATTTTGATGTTAGGCACGAGTGAGGAACACTAGGGATTTCTCATGTAATGTATGGACAGTTGCAAATTCTTTCTATTGATTTTCTTATAAATGAAATGTTGATTACTGTGCTTGAGTTTGTTGATTTATATCTGCAGCTGCAATAAGTTCATTTATTGATGAAGGCTTACAGAAACTTAAATCTACTTAGCTAGACGGGTGATTGTGCACATCAGCATTGTATTTGTCTTTCTACTTTGAACATTTGAAAATATATCATTTGAACTTAATGTTTCAGGATGAAGATATATACACATTTTTCGAGCCAGAGCTTCCTGTTGGAGGTGCTACCACTTCAAGAGCAAAGATAAGTAAGCCAAGAAACCAAACTGCTTCAAAAATTTCAGCACAAAAGAGCAGCTTCGGGCCCTTTGTCCAGAAAGCCCCTCAAGCTTTTTCATCGTCAGAGAAAACAACAACTAGCAATGGGAATGGGCACTGGTGGTCAATGATGCGCGATAGATTGACAGTGCATGAAGGCTCATCAGTTCTTGATCTTAAGGGTGAGAATTATTTCTCTTGTGCAGTGGGACGAAAGAGATCAAGTGCCAGATATCTTCTTGGATCACCAGCTGATGTAGTATCATTGCTGAAGGAGCTGGCAGATAGTTTATCACAGAGCTAGATTCAGCCTTACCATTGCTGTTTCTATCACAGAAAGTTTAAGAGCCTCAACAAAGTATGCTTGTGTGAATGATGGTTTTAGGAGATACTTTTCAGGTACTTCAATTTTTCTCTAAAGTTGCAAGATTATGCTTTCAGCAGGACAACAGGCGGGTGAGGTTTGTGCATGAGTGCATGCCCTCCCGTGGATTCTCATTAGATAGACATGTTTCTTCAGAGTTTAGAAGTTGATAACTTGCTGGCTATTCTTCTTATCACCAATCTTCGAATTTCCTTCTAAGAAAACGCAAGTACAATCTAGGCAATGAAAGCAATGATCTTTGGTGCAAATATTTTATAGTATGATATAGTAGGTGATGATTCTAATTGTTAGCTTTTAATTTGTGCACAGATTCTAACTAGATTCAGAAATGTGTGATTGACTACAGAACTGTTAGTCCCTCATATTCAAAAATTCATGCAGTTATCATTACCTCATATACCTTCTTCTAAAACTGACTACACAGAATAGATATAATTTAGGCTTTATTGAATTGAATTCTGAATCTTTTGAGCTTGAAGTGCTTTCTTTTAGAAGTTTTTCCTCTTTGTTTCGTTAACTAGTGGTAGATAACATAGTGAAAAGATTCAATACAAACAATCTTTAGTTTTATTTTTGTTCTCTAACTCAAGTCAAGAATCAACATTAGTAAATACTTTTAGCTAAATGGGTAGTAACATCTCTGATTTATTGGACATTATCTAATCAAGGTTGAGGATTCCATTTTGTCGATATTTTACTCACAATATATTGCTTATTGACATTACGAACCAAAATACAGGGAAACACTCGTAAACACAGCGTGTGGGACACCATCCACCAGAGTTACATATATCATGAGCTATCATTACTAGAGAATTACATCTTTTTTACACTCGGTTTATACTGAATAAGTAAATAAACAAGTAGCTACAAGAATCCTATGAAGCATATGTGCTTAGGGGTGATATACATTTATGAAGAAACACGTCTTGTAGTAAGAGTCGGAGTAGAATACCAAGTAGGTAATAGATGCCATCGAGCTAAATTGTTGGTGGCTTTTGTACTCAGTTCAGCTTCCTGCTTGTTTGTGAAAATTGTAATAGTAGAACCAGCAAGTATTACTATTTGGGCAAAGTCACCAGAAAAGTGCTTCACAAGATGTTGGTTCAACAAAAAAACACTTGGAACTATTTATTGAACAATATCCAACCAAAGGAGTCTTATTTTGGCCTCATGCCAAAATAAAACTCTTATTTATGTTATAACTGGCTGAACCATCAAGACTTTGATAAGACTAAGATTACGGTGCTCCATTTCATTGTCATACATTTCATATGCAAACTCTTTTGAAAGCTTCTTGCTGCTTTGGCATATTCTTTTACTTTTTGTCTTAGGTTAAGGGGAAGACTTGTTAAAAGAGTAAGGGGTGGCACTTTTTCATGATTTTGTAAGGTTATATCTAGTTCATTTTCCATTCCAATTAAAATCATGATTGTAGTTCTTAAAGGGCATGAAAAGTGATTACAATTAACTCGGCATCCTTGTTCCATATGTGGAGTTATTCTTAGTAGTTAAAATTCTTGTGTCTTATCTGAATAGGAATCAAGAGTACAGAGAGCAAACTTGGACGTCCAAGTACTTCAACAATTCTTTCACATAGCGTCCGGAAGCAAATGGAGACTACATCCGGTAGGATGATATGAATTTTGGAGTTTGATCCATTCAGAGAGACACTGTATTTCAACTTTGTATTGAATGGGAAGTAGAAATTTTCTGGATACAGTTTTCCTCGCATTGATGCAGATGTTGGATACACTGAAATAATATTATTCTGGTTTTTATCTTGATCCCAATTGACAAAGCAGAAGGCAAAAATTGGAATGTGCTTTGCTTTTGCATAAAAGTTTCGTTATACAAACAGATGTACCTTACAGTTTAATTGTTTCAACTGTCATGATATGCTGCTCACAAGATAGTGCAGTGCCTGTTTTGCCGTCTTCTTTTCTTAAGGAACTCTATCGATATTGTCTCTTTGGACGAAGCAGCATTTGTCATCTCATAATGCTAGGTTAAAGGAGGAAAGAAAGGCTTCTGAAACACTTTATCCAATGAAAATTGAATAAAAATCTAAGTGTTAATTATTTCTATACTTATTCGTGACTTTTTATTCAGTCTTAGTTTTTGATCCTTTCTTTTGGGGATTCTGTGTGTTGGATGCCCCTTTTTTTCCCCCTCGTGGGTTATTTGACCTCTCATCATGGTTCACTGGGTATCAATGCTGGTGTTTTAGCTGTTCAAGTTAATTAAATTTTCAAGTGAGATCATGTTTAGGGTGTAGTCTCATGTTTAGTGTGGCATTGTGCTGTGGCATCGCTATCAGCTTTGAGATAGTCCACAAGATGGTGCTGGTTAGGAATATCAACTTGACTGGGAAAAAGAAAGGACAATGGAATGGAATAACAATTATGCTTTCTTCTTTTCAGAGGTGTCTTTTTTGATGGATTTTGACTGACTTCAGTCTGCTAAAGGAGTCAGATTCAGTAGCTTCTTAAAATTGCAAGCTGTACGTACAACTTGTGATGTAAACTACTTTTTTTTATTGCATTTTTGAGGAATTTTATCACAATTAGTAGCTAATGACATCGACTGAAGTTGATGTTTGTCATGCTTAATTGCAAATTGCCTTCATATCCCTTTCAACCATCAATTTAGTCCCCTACATAGTCCCTCCTGTTTTGCAGTAAGGGTATAATTTGTTAGAATCTACAAGTGGTCAGATGTGGATAAAGATTCTAAGGCAGGAATTCAATGTATAGGATTTCGGATAAAGTTCATACCTTGCATGGATACCTTATGTCCTACTATGCATCAGATGCAAGCAAGTACTCAAGTTCAAGAGATCGCAAATAAGTTTTTGGCCAAGTTTATCTGTTACAAGTTTTTTAATAACTTTAACTATAGTAATTTCAAAAAATTTTTCAAAGTTTTTAAACTATACACTGCAAAATATCAAAAAATTTATATATTTCAAAATTTTTTTTTACAACTTTTACAGTAAATTATAATAAAGTTTTAGACAAACACGCAAAAAATTTATTTGCAAACGTGGCTTATGATCAATATGATTTGGGTTTGGCTTTCCATCTCACAAGAAATATAGGATACCACCTTTTAGCTTCACTTTTATTTTATTTTTTTTATTTTTGGCCTAATAGCAAACACAACTTAACAATAATTGTTAGCTAATTCACGATTCAGAAGTTAAAAGAGTATTTGTAAGTTTTTAATTTTCCCCCTTTGCTTTTGAAGCTCTAAACATGGCACCAAGCAGAGGGCAAGCTTTGATAAAATGGGTCATTGCTCCATTTTCATTCTGATCACAGTATTAGGGTGCTAACACTTGTGCTTCAAAATTCTATTTGTGATGATTCAATATCTTAACTTTTATTTATTTGCCACTTAGGCTCAAGGTTTAGTAAAAAAGTTAATTATTCAACTAAAATTGCATGATGAAACGTGTTTTGAAGTGTATTGGTGATACTATTATCTAATGCAATATTGCAATCACTCATTCAGTCTGTATGAAAAATGATGCTAAACTTGACACTTTTTTTGTATATTTGTCGTACCAAAAAAAAAAAAAAAAAACTAAAACTATTCAAACTTTTGTTTTGTACCATTTGGATCACTTAGCATATATATGATTCAGAGAAAAGCAAATGTTATTTGTCTAACGCAGCATACAATTTAGAAACGATTTGTTATTTGTCTGACATTGCAATATTACGTACTTGCAGCTGCAGTGTTTTTTTTTTTTTGATAGCCCGGAATATGCCCCGACCCAAGCCCTTTGGACCCGTGCCGGTACACCAAACCGGAGGGAAGCCGATGGCCTCATACAGCTTTCCCGGGCGAGTCAGGATGTGCAGCGCAACGGGCATGAATCGAACCCCAATCAGTGGGAAAGTTAGCAACTCAAAGCCAATCCCTCAACCGCTGCGCGCTGTAGTGTTGAACAACAAGGATAAGCCAATAACTGATGCATTTGGCAATGAAGCAAATCCATTCTTATTTGGATCAGGTCATTTTATGCCAAAACAGGCAGCAGATCCTGGACTAGTTTATGATGCCTCCTATGAAGACTATCTTCTTTATCTATGCAGTATTGGGTATAATCTCAAGGATTTAACTCCCAACTTTACATGTCCTACAAATCCACCTGCACCACACGACCTCAATTACCCGTCAATTGCTATTCCACAGCTCCAAGGAACTGTGGTGATATATAGAACAGTGACAAACGTTGGCAGCAATAGAAGTGTATACTATTCTCTGGTGAAGGCTCCCTTGGGGGTCTCAGTAAACATTTATCCACCAATTTTGTATTTCAATGAATATGGTGGGAAGAAAACTTTCACCATCACAATTCAAGCAGAGAGCCTAGAGGGTGCATATTATTTTGCACAAAAACAAGTACCAGTTTGGATGGTACACTTGGAGGGATAGTTTTGGCACCTACAACGTCCGAAGTCCCATTGCTGTAGCATTGGCTTACTTCTTATTAGTCTTTTATTTCTTTTTGGAACTCATTTTTCAACTTGTGGTTTAAAGTGCATCTCTATCAATGGAAATTGTACAGAAACTCAATAGCAATAAATATAGAACACAATAGCATTGAAACTATTGAGTTTAGTTACAAATGTGAGCAAAAAACATGGGAAAACTGAAAAGCATTATTGAGGTTAGTATCAAATGTACGAGATGCTGTCTGCAGTGCTTTTTTTTTTAATTTTAAATATCATGTTCTAACTTCTAAGTGTAGCGTAAGTATAAATTTGCACTTATAAATGTGGGATACCATTTGAATACACACGTTGAAAAAGCTATTTTTTTTTTGTTTTTTTGAACAGATACCCTGTTATTGCCCAAGCATGATATATTATTCTTCATGAAATTTTTATTCGATCATTTGTTTTTGGTTTTCTTTTTCTGAATAACTTTTTTTATATACTATCAATGTATAATGGTTTATAATATGCCACGCAACATGAATTCAAATTTGAAATTCATATCATGCATATGTAGTATACATCCAAATAGCTAGTGAAAAAAATCACTCTATTATCAACGTACTTTGCATGATTATATTAACCTAAATATAATACCTCTCATAATTTTTTTTGGTGAAATTTGATTGTTTAACTGATAATAAAATATTTTTTATTTTCAATTTTTTAACCAGTTGTTGTTATAAAGACTGTCTAAATATGAACTCTTTGATCTATTGATTTTTGAATTTATTTGAGCGTTCTTTTTTTGCGAATTTATTTTGAGGTTTTTATTAAATTATGGATTTAGTTTTGATAAACAATTCTTAATACAATTATGTTTCACCAAAGTTATTGTATACTCAAATTATTTTACTATTAAATCATAATATTAGGTTTTTCATATTGTACAAAAGATATTGTTAAACAGGAAATACATGTATACATGTCAAAGTGTGAACCTAGTTATAAATAGAATTCATAATTATTAGCAAAATAAAGACTTAAACTGTAAAATCAATTTCTGGAGAGGTATTGGATTAAACAAATTAGTTTGTTAGATTTTGTCATTGTAATTATCTTCTCGACATTCACCTCTTCCTTTACCCCTTGGAAAGCTCGTTTGTCAGTCAAAGTCTGCATGTGTCTTATTTTACCTAAAAATAAAATCCATGGTTAAGTTTCTGATGAAATCAATAAATTTTAGCAAATGAAAAAAATTTATGTCAACATTTGAATGTTATTTGCCATAACATTTTGAATGTTATCTTTCCTTGTTAGGACAAATGAAATGCAACTGTACAATTAGAATAAATTAATTATTTAAGAACAAAATATATGAACAGTGCTGCTATCCAAGTTTGCATGAACATTTAATTATTCTAGTTTATATTTTTGAGTTAAACTTTTTAATTTTTTTGTGAAATCGAATTGAATAATGTGAGGTGCATTGTTGAATTTGGATTATTTATATTTTTTCTAAGTGGTATTGAAGTTAGTAAATAATGTAAATGATTTGTACTACTTAATTATCTTAGATTGGTTATTTAGTTTTGAATGGATGTTTAATTGATAGAAATAGTTGAATTCTTTTATTTTTTGCTTTTCTTTTAGTATTTCTTCGTATTGATAAAAAATACATCATTATACAATTGTCTCGCGATATTCATGTCAAGATTCTCCAAATGAATGTAGATTCTTTTCTTTTTATATATTTCTCTTTTATTCTAAGAGCATCTATTTTTTGTATACTAATATTTTTTTACGATCTTAAAATTATGGCTAATGCAATTCGTGACATTATTTCGAGTAAGAAATTGCTTTGGGTAAGAAACTTTGGCACGGACAAGAATTGGAGGTGGAGTGTAAGGATTGCTAAATAGTTTTAATAGGGAGTTTTTCATTTTAATTACAGTTATTATTGAGATTTAATCATTTGGAACGTTTCATTTTTTTTATTTACTACCACAAGTAAAATGTAATAACTCTAATTGAGAGATGGGGAGTAAAATGGGTACAACAAAAACTAAGATAAAAAAGTACTTATAATTTACAATATCAAAACTCATCATACTTTTGATATAGTAATAGATAAAAGTTAATAAACTTGTTAAAACAGATGCAGCGGAACGGAAGAACAAACAAGAACAAGCAAGAACAAATTTGGAAAAATCAGATTTTTATTAGGATTTGGAATGTATCAGATATATTTGTACAGAATGGATATAAGGTATATATGTACAATCAAATAACCAAAATGGACTGGACCATTAGGCCTAAAAAACCGAGACCCAAACTAAAACGGATACGATATCTAAAACGGATCGCGAGACCCCCGAACAGTTCAGTAAAGGTCGAAGATCTGATTCAAGGCATTTCAACAGAATTATTACGCGAATTTTATGAATTGGGCGTGGATTTGTTTG